ACTTGACAGGCTTTTTGCAAGTGTACGAAATCGGTGCAGTGTAAAACTCGAGTAAACGAGTGTCAAATCCCAAGGAACTACCTACCAAGTACCAAACTATTATATTCTATTGCTATTTGATTAACTGAAGGTTAAGAATGAATTTAATGAAAAAGTAAATAAACTAAAGACTAGTACTAAATAAAGGCAGAATTTGTAAACACTTTGAAGTAAAAATCAATATGACTAAACTTAGGGCATAGATTTCACACCAATGTAATCATATGCATTGACATCTGTTGTTAACCTAATCAAGCGTAATCTAAAAGCCAAATCCCCTATTATTCCACTAACTCTATCTCGAGCAATTAGCAAATTAATCCTTAAGCAACAACCCAAGATATCTCTAAATTGGATTTAGGAGCTAAAAGATCATTAAACTCTATGGAATTTACCGGAGCCTCACAGATCGCGGTAACCTATCTCTAGCGTTCGCTCAATCTATGGTTTTATTACCTACGACAAATCAGGTTTCATATCTCGATCTCAACCTAACCCATGATATCATTCAACTCTCGGGCCCTTGAGAATTGAAAGCATTATGCACAATAATAAAACTTAGAATTAAAAGCTCAATAAGAATTAACAACAATCCAAGTCAACACATATTCATAAATTGGGCTACATCTTAGCCCTAGAAAAGAGAATTAGTTCATAATGAAAATAACTAAATCCATCATTCTATTCAATGACATCAGTTCAAGAAAGAAAAAGATAAAAACTTCTCTAATCGGTGAACGAGAGCTCTCAGGATCCCAATCTTCAAAGTAGTAGCCGTCTTTTCTCCTCTTTCCAATCTCCCTTAAAACTACTTAAAGACCCTTATTTATAGTACTAGGGTTTGGAGGTTACTCAGGAAAGAATTAAATGCCTTCACCCATTCAGATTCGGACTGGGAGAATGTAATAACTTAAACAGGCCCGTGACCTATCGCTGCGGCGATAAGAACCGTCACTGCAGCGATCGTTCTTTCTGTCCAATGAGTCCGTGATCTTCAGAATTTGGTAAAGTCATCAACACAAACTTTTTAGATCCCTGAATAAGCTTTCCAACGCCACAAGAATCGTCGAATTCCGATTTCTACAGCTCAAGTTATGATCCAAACAGCGAAGCATGCTCATCTTGAAGAATTTCCAGATTTTACGTTGTATCTTCGACGCATCACAACTTTGTCGTTTCAACTCCGATTTTTGCACCGTTTGTTCCTACTCGTCATGAATTCCATCGACGTCATTCTTTTTCCTTCACATATTGGTTTGAACCTGAAAATGCTCAAAATACATCTGTGATCCCGTAAAAGGTATTTATGAAATAATTAATTCAAATTCCACAATTTAAACACATTTTTCCACAAATAATCCAATTAAATCACTAACAAAATATATACTTTCAAGCTCTTATCAATAAGAAATCCAGGAAAGAAACATTGGAAAACAGTGAAGTGGATTCGAAGATATTTGAAAAGTACTACAGATTCAGCATTATGCTTTAGGAAGTCAGACTTAGAGCTACAAGGTTATGTGGATGCTGATATGGCTGGTGATATTGATAATCGCAAGAGTACCACATGTTATGTCTTTACATTAAGTGATATAACGGTTAGTTGAGTTTCAAAATTACAGAAGATTGTTGCTCTTTCTATTATAGAGGCAGAGTATGTTGCTATAATAGAAGCTAGTAAAGAGCTAATATGGTTACAACAATTCCTAGAAGAATTGGGTTAGAATTATGAGAAGAGCGCTTTGTATTGTGATAGTCAAAGTGTAATTCACCTGGCAAAGAACCCAGTCTACCATGCTAGGACAAAAACACATAGAAGTTCGTTATTATTTCATACGCTCAGTTTTGAAAGGAGTTATAACTCTCAAGAAGATTGAAGGGAGTAAAAATCTAACTGATATGTTTACAAAGGTGGTTATCATTGAGAAACTGGAGTTGTGTACAACTTTAGTTAGACTTCTCACTTAAAGAAAGAGAAGTTGATACCACTGCTGATGGAAGTGAAGAATTGAAGACATGTTTAATTAGTCTTCAAGTGGGAGATTGTTGAGATTGTGGAGCCAAATTCAATTTAAATTTGAGTTAGATTAGGACATAGATTTTCCTAATTTGTGTTTAAGCAGAATTGTTTTTTTTTAGGAATACAATTAAAAATATGATTTTTTTTTTTTTTTCTTTATAGTGAAATTCCACAGCAGCAAAGTGGACATAACTCTCATATGGAGAATGAACCACTATAAATCTTGTGTTTATGTGTGTAATTATTTTGTGTCATTTGTTCGCATTATTTTTTGCTTTTAAAGACTTAAGATTTATTAGTATTCAATTAAATCCCCCCAACACCACTCGTCGCCGGAAGTCACTAGAAGTCACCGATATGACCGTTTCTAGCCATATTGATGGCAAGAACCAAAAACGACCATATCAGAATAGATATAGCAAAAAATGGTCAGATCTATCTTAGCCATTTCCAACCAGATCAATGGGTCTCACCGTTATCGGCTAGATCTAGGCAAAATCTAACCGTCAACGACCATGGATCTAACCGTTAACAACCAAATCCATGGCCGTTAACGACAATATCTCGCCTAAATATGGTAGTTAAAAGCCATGGATCTAGCCGTTGTGACTGGTTTTGACCAACAATATGGCCAACAACAACCATATCAAAGCCTCCCGACAACTTTCGACGACAAATGACAATGGCTTAAGGTGGTGGAGGTGATTTTGTTATAAATTAAAGTTTTATATAAATTGGGGTGTTTTACCTAAATCTGAAATGTTGGAGATTAAAAGAAATTATTCAAAATTTAATAATAAAAATAATATTATAATATTTAAAAAAAGACAATTTAGTAATTTAAATAACATACTCACCAATTTATTCTTTTCAATCAAACATATTAATATAACATATACACCAATTTATTCCAATCAACCAAACACATTTTTTAAAGATTCCAATAATCTTCAAATAATCTAACTTTCTATTAATATAACATTCACAATAATCCAACATTCCCTAAACCAAACGCACCCAAAAGAGTAAAATACAATTAACTCTATAAAATTACAGACATTTTGAGATTTTCCCCAAAAATCTGTTTGATCAAAATGAAGACCACCATAGCCTCAAAGAAATGAACAGATTCAAGGTACTGTACAAGAACTTGTCCAGTGTAGTCAGGTAGGCAAGTGATAGGGAATTACTCTTTCTAAAACTATATATTTGCTAATTTATTATATTGCATGTCAAAGCTAACCAATCACACCGAAATTACAACCCAAATTATACCCTAAACCTTAAACTTGTTTGAGTCAACACCATCATCATTTTAAAGGTCTGTAACTAATGGGAATTCATCAGCTACCAATATACTCCATTAGAATCGTCCAATTGTCAAAAACCTGCAAATTTACAACAGATGTTCAACTAATAAAGTCTGTACATAACGTTTCAATATCCTTGTGAAAATGAAACCTCATCAAAACTAGATCAATATTCAAAAATGGGTCACTACTTACATCTTCATTATGGAATAAAGAAATCTTTCGACCAGTAGAGTCACATTCAATCCCATTGTCATTCACAACTACAACATAGCAATCCCTAACAAAATATTCCAGCTTTTAGAGTCCAGTCACTAATGAAAATAAAAAGACCAAGTCAAACCAGGAGGGAGGACAGATGGAAGCTTAAGGACATTACTGGTGGACTTGAACCTCAATCAGGTTACAAGAACTGAAACTCCAGAAAAATCAGCAGATGAAAATCCTATGTCCAGGTGTACACAAAAATGGGCCACCTATTCCTTCATGTTACAGCCTGCTTCAGCTGGTTTTCAACCCTCAGAGTTGTGAATGACCCTATCACCCTTATCACACACTATGCTACAGGTTCAAAGAGCTGAGTACATGGATGCTTTAGCCCCATTTGACATCAAAATCCCTAGAATTATACCAAATCAAGAAGATCAATACCCTCAGCTATTGCAGCGACAAAGAGCAAAAACAGCTTTTTGCCTTTGCAGAAGAGGGAAACATAAAATGGCAACATCAGAGCAAGGCTCACTTCTGAAGCATCCTCTCTCCATGGCTATACAGTACAACAAGACATGAAATCATATTCTATTCTACAAATTCAAAAAGACGTGTTCATCTGTATCAGAAAAAGAAAAAATTAGAAGCAGAGTTCATTTTCTAAAACCAATATTGAACTCAAATATAAGTTTTTGAAAAACATGATTTGAAAAACAAATTCTTCCACTTCTTCAAACAAGACTCTACTAGTCAAAGATAATATTTGAAACAAGTTTTCAAAAACAAAAACAGATACCATATGACCGCTAAATTCTTGATGACCACCGCATATATCACTGCTTAATATCCACCAAATTAGTTACCCTAGTCCCTCAGTAAGATATTTAGAATAAAAGAAATGAATGGGCAATAAAATGTATGTAATTCAGCAAAATACTGCAATACAATTCAATCCCTAAACATGATCAAAGACCAAACTGAAATACACCATTAAACACAACTTATAAGCATATAAAACTTACAACTTAGAAATTATGAAGCACTTAAAAACTATTAAAAGAATCAATGCCTGCCACCAATGCCATTGAACTATAAAAGTATTTTTAAAGTTGGAAGTCATTCCATTTGGAATGCACAAAATGAGAATTGTCAACATATAATATAATTCGGATAAGCACGAAATAGTCGGGTTAGAAGAGAAACAAGGTAGGACCATGCAACGCCATTTATAAGTTTACCGAACTATCGCCTAAAATACTGTCACAAAATAAATACTAAACTATTCTATTTCTCAATTTTTTTTTTTTTACACAAAAATCTAAAAAATATATAACGATAGGACTATGAAAATTAAATCATCATTCAGTGACTCAGATACTAAATACCAATATAAAAATCACATGTATAAACTAGAACCTCAATTAAAACCATCCGTACCAAATAATCTATTTTACCTCATTCAAATAAATGTCCCCAAATTTATCCAAAATCCAACATTAACCAAAAACAAAATGATAGCAATCTTTTCTTTTGGAAAAAAAAAAAAAGAAAGAACCGTTGATCTTGATCTCAATCAAGGGGAATCTCCACGTCACCATCAGTAATCTCCTGTTGCAAGTCCTTGGGATCCTTACCGTCGACCGTACACCCAACAGAGACGCACGTGCCCAGTATCTCCTTCACAGTCCCACTGAGGTCCTTGGCCATGGACCTGGGCCTCATAACCTTGGCGATTTCGATGACGTCATCCAGGGTGATATTACCGTTATGCTTGATGTTCTTGGTCTTCTTCCTGTCTCTCTCCGGTTCCTTCAATGCTTTGATAACAAGTGCGGCTGCAGAGGGGACCACCGCGACCTTAGCTTGCCGGTTCTGTACGGTGAGTTTGACGGTTACACGGAGGCCCTTCCAGTCCTTGGCGGTTTCTTTGGCAATGTCTTCTCCGATTTTTTTGGGGGAGAGACCGAGCGGACCGATCTTTGGAGCCAGCGAACTGGCGGCTCCGACCTCACCACCCGTGACCCGGACGAACACATCCACGACCTGGGACGGGTCGAATTTGGGCGGCATTTTTTCGTCTTGGGTATGGGAGAGGAGTGAGAGGTTTCGGGTAGGGTTACGAAATGGAGAGTGAAGAGAAAGGGAAAGAATCGAAGTGTCAGCTTATATAGGTAGGGTTTTGCTGGCTTGTTGGTGGAATGACTTTTTTACCCTATGTAGATGAGCTCGTCTTGAGGGCATATTTTTGGGATAGTTTTGGTTTTGGAAGTTGACTTTGAGATTTAAAACGGTGCGTTTTGTATATGAGAAAATTTGTAAGAGAACGGAGTTTGATTGAGGAGAAATTTCATAAACTGTATCTATATAGGATCATAGATCCATAGAAATGTCACATTTATTTTCATAATTTTTTAGAAGTTTGAATTTTAGATTTTAGATGATGCATCATTATTTCGTTGGTAATCAAGATAAACATATTATTTCATATATATTTGTAGAGTTAACATTTTTTTCCACTAAATAATGGTTTAATGACACTTTTCTACCCGCAGACTTTTAAAATACCACTTTATTATCCAAATTTATATTTTGATGGCGAACAAAGAGTAAACTCGATCTAGGTTTTTGGGGTTTTTGAAGAGTGGAGACCGATGAATCTTTTAATGGTAGAATATTGGATTTTGGTGGTTGAGATTGATCGGAATTTAACTTAGGAGGACCGACTGTGCCTAATCGCTCAATTGATTGCTGGCGATTGACAGGGTCGACGAGAGTATAGTTTGAGAGGTTTTAGTGAGTAATGATAAAATAAGAGAATAGTGATAGAGTGGGGTCGCAATAATTTCGAAATTGAAAACAAAATATAAATTTAGATAATAAAATAATATTTTAAAAATCTAAGGGTGGAAAAGATTATTAAACCATTATTTGGGTGGGAAAAAGTCGTTTACTCTATATTTATATGATAAAATCAAACAATATTCAAGGTGAATTGTGATTCAAAAACTTATTTAATAATTACAAATTACATATATGTCCTTCATCCATACTAAACAGTCTCATACTTTCTATTTCATATTGTTCAATTACTTAATTAATGATGCGTCAACACATGGATTTCTGTTTCTACGATTAATTAATATTAGGGCATCGTAATTGATAAAAGACAAAATTAATTATCATAGTAGTCTGTAAAATTATTGAAGTGGCGTTCAGCTCAAGGGATGGAATGACTAGCTGATGGAGTTGTACAACAGAAAATGGCATAGAGCTTCATAAGTAGAGCTAGAAAACACTCAGGAATCAACTGCTTAGTCTTCCTGGTTAAATATTTACAAAGCGCTTGATGTTGATTTTCTTATATAGAGAGGGAAATATGATAATCCAAATACTCCCACCGGAATAAAGGAGAAAGAGTATAGCATAATTCTTTCCCAACTTTCCTTGGATTCACGAGGACTGGAAAACCAGAATTCTGATTAGGTCCACCAGGTACTGTATATGCAGCAGCAAAGGCAACGGTAGCAATGAGAACTGCCACTACTGAGCATCCTTTCGCCGTGTGCTTTAACCATTCTTTGGATGAAATACGAAGGTCCTTATTTGCAGCAGCAAATAGCGCTTCTGCGGTCAACCCCATATTATTCTGGTGATCTAGGAATTGGGGTATGCAGATTATCACATTCTTAACTTGCTGCGAACACAACCAACAAAATTCATTAGCATTTACTTGTAAGTTATGGAAGGTATAAATTTGGGTACTAATTAAAACGCACCTCAAACCAAAGTAATTCCTCTTGCAATAGCAGCGCCGGTCCTTCCATCTTTTCAGGTGCGTAATCTGGTTTTTTTATTCCAACCATATGCAAGATGGTGTTTCCATCGTTGTCCATCTTTCTTACCAGAAAGGGCATGACTGCTTCCATTTCCTTAACTACAAACTCAAAACTCTTTTGCTGGCGATACTTGATTGCTACTGTATAACAGTTCGTCCTGAATCATCAATATGACCAACTGCTTGACGGTATGTTTTGAATATTTCTTCAACTATCTTCTACATCCTGACTTAACTGCTAGAAACAAAGGAATTCTGCATCGTTTCTTTCTCCTCTTTCCTTGTTCATGATTTCTTTCTCAATGGCTAAGACTGTAGGACTGGCCCCATATCTTGTACTTAGGCCTGATGTTGTACTGGACGGGAATAGTTGATTCCCATAGATCCATTTCAATGAGAAACTTGGCAGCTTCATAGCTGATTCATATTTTTTGCTCTTCTTTCGAGCATTTTCTCTCCAGGCCAAATAACAAATAGATTTCCCTTTTCATAAAAAAAAAATAAAAAAATAAAAATAAAATAAAGGGAAGAATTAACAATTGTTACCCACATAGTAATTTAGCTAGCTATATCACCAAATCACTTCTATATGAAACAACTAATAACGAATAATCACACTACTATCTGAAACAACAATAACGTAATTACTTAACATCTTAATCTATGTAACTTACAATTGAAGACTTGAGTACAAAGCAATAATACTTCGAAATTGAGTGGAAGAAGAAAGAAGGAGGGAGAGGCAATTAAAGATTAGTATATATAATGTCCTAATAATTAGGAAACTTACAGCTGCTGATTAGTTTATCGAGAAAATCATCTTCACTCTGACAACTAAAAGCTTCCGGCTTGCAAGAGAGAAGTTGAAGGGCATTCATCCCATCCATATCTTTTTGCTCATTATGTTATTATAGTCAATTGCAATTTGCGGGGCCAAATCTATCTTGCTTTGAAAATTAGATAAATTATAAAGAAGATTAGAAGAATATAATAAACGTAAATTCACTACTTGATATGCTTATAATTTTAAAATTTTAACATTATAATATTGTAATGTACCTTCGAAAGAGCTTATATGATACAATTTGAAACAATATTAGATGGGAAGTAGTTACCAACTGTCGAGCATAACAAACATGAAGAATAGTAGATTTATCACTCCTTTCAAAAAGGGCTGCTTATTGTCTGGATCATAACTAGAGAGTTTACCGTCAAAAATTTGAAATCTCAGCTTTCCATAGAGGTCCGCACGAAAGAGAGCTGTCTCTCCATTGTTGTTGCGCATGCCTACCACCCCGGCGCTTGTTTACCAACTTCTCCGCAACATGGCGAGTATCGTCGCTAAGGGCGGTTCATGAAGAACAGTGTTTCCTAATATATTTTGGCGGGTGATTTTATCAAGAAAACGTGGGGTAACTCATCTATGAGCTTGAGGACCAGGTCTCTTCTTTTAAAAGTAATAGCCAAATGAAGTACGGAATCAGGCTGTATTGTCATAATGTGCAATGCATGATCGGCAGCCTTCTGCAGAGTTCTATCCCCCCTCTATCGTCTTCTCTGTTCAGCAGAGCCTTGTAGAGCTCTGAGTTACGTCTATGTTTGGCATAAATGTGTTCTATGGTAGAGCACATTCTTATGATGAAATAATGGAAACAAGTAAGATATGAGAAGAGTAATTTAGAAACTTGTATAAGAGCCTGGTCTGTTGTTATTTATATATGAAGGGAAAACTTTACCGACACGCTCCCAATTATCCTTTAATTGACTTCTCCAAACTTTCTGAAACTATCAACTACATTCCCAATTCATATCGCACCATATCACTATCAAGTATTTGATTGGACTTGCGAACAAGGCTGGCATTTCGCACCTTATTCACCATATTCCTCTGTAACATTATTTCCATATTAATGGGATTTGATTGGATTTTAGGATTAGGGTTAGTTTTGGAAGGCTATATATATTTTTTTAACTGCAGTCGAGCTAATTTGTGGCGTACCTCGATTAATTCTCAAGAGAGCTATCTACACACACCTATCATCATGCCCCAAGGTAAATCTATGACAAAATATTATATTTGCGTCTAACGAGAAATCAAACCTGAGATTGTGGGTTTCTACCCATTGTACCCCCTTAGTTTGTTTTTACCGCTGGGCTACCCATAGGTGGGTAAGCTAGAATATTTGAATTTTGTTTTATATATTTTGATTTGTTGTTTGATATATATATTATTCATATATTATTATGGTATTAATTTAGCCTAATGGTCGTAAATACATGTATGTTTTTGTCAAGAATTCATTTCTCTAAATTTATGAAGGCTCGTATTTTCATAGTTAAGTTTCACCCGTGTCTTTTCCTGATACTTTGCTTTTTCCCATAATCATTAAATAAAATAAAAGTCTCTTTCTTCATATTTGCTTCGCCTGGAAGTGATACCGAAAGACAATATATAACTTAATTAAATCAAAGTTTTAATAATTTACTCACTTTTACTTTACCCGAAGACATAAACATATAACTTAATTAAATCAAGTTTTAATAAATTCTCTCACTTTTACTTTACCCAAAGACAATATGTAAGTTAATTTAATCAACGTTTTACACTTTGATTGGTATTGGATTGTTGATTAATTTAAAATGCGAACTTCTGTATTACAAAGGTAACTCGATATGCACGAGCAAACTTAATCAGAGGTACACATTAAGATTATGATTTTTGAATCTGGATTAAAGAATTTCTTTAGAAGCTTAACTTGATAAAGAGTTGGAAACAACTTTGTAAGATTCCATTCATAGTAGAAGAAGGTTTCCAACCCACAGCTTTGTAACATAATATTTAATATTATGCATGTGTTTCACGGAGTCAATACTTTCAGCATAATCACTGTAGAACATAGACTTTATGTGGAACACCCATAACATTGTCTATAGAATGAATTACACTTCCATTCTTAAGGTTTGATGTATATTGAACTTACCTCTAACATTATGAAATACGAACAATTTAGTCCAAAACTATAATCATCGTAAACGTCTTAACAAACCCTAGGGTGGGTTTTTCATGTTTTGGCAAACCTTTGTGGTTTAAAGTAATTAACATTTCTTTGTTATACGCAAAAAATTAGGACAAGGGTAAAAATGGTATTTAATCTCACTTTGTGAGTCATCAATTTTGTTAACGTCTTACAAACGATTGGGGTTTGCATATATCGACACCTGAGGGATATTCACATTTGATAAACTTTGGGAGGTTTAGATAATTATCCCATATTTTCATAGAGTTATGTAGACATATAGAATGATATATTGTGAATTGAGTCGTTGCGAGACATTTGAATTATGTGAGACAAATTTGCGAATTCTGTAACCTTCCTGTGAAGAAATTGACAAAATTGTAATCTTTTTGTACAATGCTTCAAACAAATATTATCATTCCGCCAAGAATTGTTTGTTTTGCTTTTCTTTTAAGTTGGTCAAATTATTTTCGAATTGGCATTACTCCACAATAAAGATAGTTCTACAATATCAACTTTGAATTAAAAAATCACTAAAAATCAAATTTTGGTCTTTTCAGTTGAAACTAAATTCGTTATATGACCCTTAAACCAAAGACGTTTACTTTTGATTTCCGAGAATTTATTTTGGATTAATTTAAAGTCCAAAATTTTCTTTATTTCCATAAAAGGTAAATCGCCCTTTACACAAACATTTTAAAAATAACCATCTTTTGTGTAGCCGAGTGATTCGATAAGCACTTTTGGATATATTACTCAAGATATCATGAATTTGATCTCTCATCAGTTGGTAATAAGGGTGGTCATTGGAACTCTTATCTGTCTAATAATTTTAGGGTCCCAAAGGATTAGTCGAGGTAAGCGTAAACTGGCCCAAACACCTCCCGTCATTAAAAAAATAAAAATAGAAATTTCAATTTAATAACTATCTTAAATTCATAAATTCCTATAAATATGAACTTAATTTGTAAAGGTTCTTAACACCAAGGCAAATATTCGATCTCTAAGGTCCAGAATATTTAATTAATAAATGCCGATGTATATACCAGTACCACAACACCGAACACTATTATATAAATTTATAAAACAATACATTAATTAGGGGGCAAGAATTAAGTATGCATACTTAACAATCTAAAGTGCGGACTTTGTAGTAGCACTAATTTCACAAATTGACATTACGCAAACAAAGACTTGAAATCTGTTATGCTTGATTTGCACACAACTATTCGCACGTGGAAAACGCTGAGCAAGCTCAGAAGTTACCCGTGATTATGGGAGTATTTAGCTTAGTAAGAATGAAGAGCAATGTTTAAAGTGTTCGGATGCTCGAAAACGAATCCAACGTCCACTGATATTGTTGTATGAGGATAAAGTCAGGTCGCGTTATCAGAGAGTTAAGCAATAACTAGGGAATACAAGAGAGAGAGAGAGAGAGTGTGTGTGTGTGTGTGTGTATACGCTATTCCAGAGTGAATTAGCTAATCCCGCAAATGAAAGGGAAGTCATCTATTTATAGTGGGATAAACTAAAATAATGATTACTAAATCTGAAAGTGGGTGGGTATCGTGCAAATCCTTCTTTGATCCCAGTATTCCCCTGCCTGAGTGATTTCCTCACCTTGTGCAGGGTTTAGACACGTGGACGATTCCCAGCCATTTACTAACCTAGCGTTTACCCACTACACTGGCAGGGACATACCACTTGGGTCATCGCGCGATGTGGCTGCGCCTTAGTGGGTGGGGTATTGTGCAAATCCTTCTTTGCATCCCATTATTCCCCTGCCTGAGTGATTTCCTCACCTTGTGCAGGGTTTAGACACGTGGACGATTCCTAGCCATTTACTAACCTAGCGTTTACCCACTACACTGGCAGGGACATACCACTTGCGTCATCGAGCGACGTGGCTGCGCCTTAGTGGTTGCGGATCTTTTCCAAGCTTCAACCACCCTAGGCTGACTAGGCTCCACGTCAGCCCTACTGTTTCAGGCATAACAGAAGTCCCATAGTTTTTAAGGTTTGAGAATCGAACCTTGAGAACTACACAATTATGCCTTGATTTGATATGTGCCGG